AAGGTTAATAATTACTATACAGCCTTAAAGTTATAGCCGGCATTAAGTATATAGTAAGATTTATATGCATTTAAAGGAGTTAAAAAGGCACTACTTCCCTTAGTACCTAGGAAGCCATAGACCTACTCTCGATATTATAAGCAAGGTTATAATAGAAACTTAAGGCTATACCCTAAGAAGTATATTAAAATAGCAGTAAAGCTTAATAACATAAAGAGAGAATAAGATCTTACTATAAAGGAGGTTATAGTTATAGATATATAAAGCAGGTCTATATCTCCTGCTACTGCCGTAGCCTTAATACTATAAATAACCCTGACCCTAACTTACTACTACCTTTAAGAGCCTATATATTAAGTATATATAAAGTATAAAGAATTTCACAAGGCATAGTTTAACTAGTAGCCCCCTAGTACCTCTCTTACTAATTATACCTTTAGAGAAGCTATTAGACTGCCTTTAGAGTATAATACAGTTAGGTATTAGTAGTACCGGAGGTTAGAGCAGATAGGGCCCTTCGTTAAGCTTTATAATAGCTTTAAACTAAGAGATTAGATGTTAAAGGAGATATACAGCTAGCTTAATAATAATAATAGATCTAATAATAATACTAATTAACTAGAAATATAGCTTTTAGGAGCAGAAGGCCCTAGCTATATATCCCGGCAAGGACCTGCAAGTTATATATTATTACGGCTATAGCAGGGAGGCAATCTGATTCTCCCGGCGAGATAACCAAGCAGTTAGGTAGCCTAATGCCAAATAAGATACAAAGGGATAATAGTTAATTAGGAGCTATATATAAATAGAGCGAATTTCAGCGAATTTAATAATATAATTATTATTACTTAATAGTAGCTCTTTGCAATTAAAGTGCCTCTTTTTATTTCATAGTATTTATAATAATTAAAAATTAGTAAAGTTAAAGTATGCAAAATCATTAATCCTTATAAATTAATTATCCTAGTTAGAATACCTATACTTATAACTAGCTACTTACGCCTAAGAAGGATAATATATATATTATTAAATTAAAAGAAAAAAGCTAACGTACACGATAAGCATGCCGATCAGACAAGCATGCCGATCAAAAATCCCTCAACCTTACATCTAACCATCTAATCAATTGATTCTCAAC